TCTTATTTCCTAGGAGATTTTGTATTTCATTTAACATTTTTCAGTTTAAAATGAATAGTTTGTTGTGATGTTCTATCGTTGGTGAAATGGCAAGCTTATGATTGTGCAATCTAAGTTGCACTTTGTATTGTTTTTGGATTTTTTCGGTATCTATCTTATACTTATTGTATAAAGCGGAAGAGTTTGTTTTTTTTTTGTTTGTTTGTTTGAACGCGCTAATCTCCGTAACTAAAAGTCTGATTTGAATAATTATTTTTGTGTTGGATAGCACATTTATCGAGGATGGCTATAGGCTATAAAACATCACGCTAAGACCAATAGGAGCTGAGCACAGCGTGTGTAAACGCGCGGAAGTAACTAGTGTTTATATATAATGTTACAATCATGTATGTACAGCTAGTAAAAATTAGGTAATTATTATATCTTAATGTTGTGTATCGTTGATGTCGTGGTGGCCCGGAGGGTTAAAAGGCCCGCTTCTCATGCATGAGGGTCCGGTTTCGAAACCTACCAACGGCAAGTACCAATGCAACGTTTTCCGAGTTATATGTACTTTCTAAGATTATCTAGACACCATTGACAAACGGTGAAGGAAAACATCGTGAGGAAACCTGGGCTTAAAATTTTTAATTATAAGTTTGTAATCGCCAACCTGCATTCTGCCTACCTCTTCAAGGATATAACTCAGACACGTAATAGCGAGTCATATTTAAAAAAAAAATACTATTTTATTCATACTGTCTTCAATATTGAAAAACAAACGACAAACTAGATACTTCCACATCAATTTACTTGTACACACGTTTTATCTACAAGCCTATGCTTCTAAACTATGACGTCACAACACCCCACTCTTCTCTAATTTACTTTCTTTCACATCACCCTGTGTCATACATATATGAAGACCTAAAGTGGATGTGACATGCCTTTGACATAGTAAATACAGTCTTATCTTTAAGATAGTACAATATTATTTTGACTGACATCGTAAAATTATATATAGTTACTTAACGCTACGTTTTCTCTGCCTTATTAACTACTAGCTTTTACCCGCGGCTTCGCTCGCGTCACAAAAGGATAAAAAGTAGCCTATGCGACATATACCAATACACACAGCGCCATCTCTAACAATACTTTTGTTTTCCCTTGGGAATATCAAATTTTTCCGGGATAAAAGTACCCTATTATTTAATTCACTTTCCGATTTATAATATAAGTAAGGATTGCCTTTTAACCAGATTTTAGTAAACAAGACTTTCAGTACAACAATCTTTTCTGACAGAGGGACATTCATTATTTTTAAAAAGCTAAAAGGCACGCTCGGAGATCTTCGCACCAAGCTTCCTTATGCGTACTACTAAGGAGTGGAATTCTTTGCCTGAGTCTGTATTTCCTTAAGGGTTGTTCTAGGCCCGAGTGAATAGGTTGCTTATGGGACAACGTGCTCCATCGTAGACCGCATCATAGCTTATAACCAGGAGAGATGGTGGTCGAACGTCGGCCCATCAAACATAAGAAAAGGTCATAATGACCTCCAAACCTTCAAAAAAGAGCGTGAAAGAAAGAAAGAAAGAAAAACTATTTATTTTGCTACGACACACAACAAGAATTTAGAAACACCGAAAAAAAGCCCATGGTGCGTCGCAGCGCAAAAGGCTGGAGCTCAGCTTAATACCGTGGACCGGGCACAGAGGCTCGAGCCCACAGCGCTGATTTTCAGCACCAGCCCGTTATAATACGTACTAGTTAAACATCTAAATTAACGCTGCTCGGAGTACAGCATGATGTATAATATAGTAAAATTAATATAGAAGTGAAAACAAAATCAACAGCTACGATTACTGCCAAAAATCTAAACAAATGGATAAAAAATAAATAATTAAAATAACAACAAGAACATCATTACATTATAACATACATATTAATAACAATAGCACATATTGAAAATACATATAATTACATTCAAAACAATTAATTATGTTGAGCGCATCACCATAGACAGTGAGTATCTTTACTTTGACATTTGCCTCAATGACATTGACAATATACTTTAATATGACGCAATCCAGACGCGGCTGGACAAACGTGGTGTTGTGAGTATCTATGGGCGTCTCACGATCTGATGATCCATCTGGTCGTTTGCTAGCTTAACCCTTAAAAAAGGGAGATTGGTGATCCCTCGTAACGTCGTGACTGGTCGTGACTGTAGTTTGTTTTTTTTTAAATTAAATTATCAACTACTTATAACTTGGAACGTGTGCTATAAACATATAATGGCTAGAAGAAAACAACTTAAAAATAAACATGACAAAAACGAATGTAATACAATTCCAAGCACCAAACACAAACACACATCATTTACTCAACATTCAATTTAATAATTTCACCATAAACACGGTCAATGAATGTGTATTTTTAGGTATAACTGTAGACAAACATTGCACCTGGAAACCTCACATAGATAAAACACGAAAAAAACTGGATCGATTTGTGTATGTCTTGAGACGAATGAGACAAACAATAAACCTAAGGACTGCTATAGTTGCTTATAATGCCTATGTGGCATCGGTAATCAGATACGGAATCATAATTTGGGGAAACTCGGTCGAGGTCGAGACGTTATTTAAAGCACAAAAAAAATGTATCCGAGCAATGAGTGGAGCCCACTTTTTAGAAAGTTGTAAGCCATTGCTTCAAAATCTTAATATTTTATCTTTACCGTGTCTTTATATTTTTGAAACATGCATGTTTGTAAAAAGGAATTATAGTTTATTTGAAGAAAACGGTTTAAAACCAAATAGTAGAATAAGACACAAAGATAGATTGAAATTACCCCAAATAAAATTAATGTTATTTAAGAGAAATGTTTACTGCATGGCTATTATCATTTATAATAATTTACCAAACAAATTTCAAGATTTGCCTGTCCTAATATTCAAAAAGTTATTGTTTAAACGCCTTGTAGAAAAACAATATTACAGTGTTAGAGAATACTTAGAGGATAAGTCATGGAAATAATAAAGTAATTAGACTTTTATAAATTACAGTATGTAGGTACTTACTTGACTTGTTTATGAATTGTGTTGTATTTCGACATTTTATTATTGTATTATTATGACGATTGTATCTAATAATTGAATTCCTTGACATCTTACATTGTGACTACTGAACTACCTACTTAATTACTTATGACTTTTATCGATCAACATTTAATTTTATAAAAATCAATGACATTTTATATTATAAAGTAGGTGGTCCAGATATTTAATAAACTAGATAGTACTATATAGAATCAATGTTTTTGGTAAAATATGAAATGTAATACTATTATAATTATTTCTACACCGGAGACGGTTGTGTATGTGAAACTGCTGTATTGTTAAGATCTGTGTGTACCATATACTGAGAAATAAACGATATTATTATTATTATTAATATAATAAAGTAATATATTCAGAAAAGCAGTATTTTAAGAGAGTAACCTTTGGCTCCTATGTTCGCATCGTCATCGTATTATATCGAATTTTGTACTAAAGCATTATGCATAATATGCATTCATAACATAACATAACATCACGCCTTTTTATCCCCGAAGGGGTAGGCAGAGGTGCACATTACCGCACCTAATGCCACTGTAGGTACTATGTAACACCCACTATTCACTATTTATGTTACGAGTCTCATGTAATAGGGGGTGAGCCTATTGCCATATACCGGGCACAATTCTAGACTCCGTGCTACCACTGAGATTTTTTTTAAAACCCAGTAATACTTTGCCCGACCCGGGAATCGAACCCGAGACCCCTTGCACGGCAGTCGCACTTGCGACCACTCGGCCAACGAGGCAGTCTATTAAAGCATTCATATTTTCTTTGATCACTAACTGTCCCCATTCATCAACATCCAATCACAAATAGACTATTAGAATACATCACATTTATCCCAGATCAACAGTATTTTATCCTCGAAGGGGCAGACAGAGGTGCACATTACGGCACTTAATGCCACTGTACAATGTTATGTTAAGAGCCCCTGTAACAGGGGTGAACCTATTGCCCATATACTGGGCACAATTCAAGATTTTTTTTTAAAAAAACCTGACTAATACTTGGTCCGAGTCGGGAATCGAACCCGAGACCTCTTGCCCGGCAGCCGCACTTGTAACCACTGGCGAACGAGGCAGTCGAGGAATATAAAATCAGACTAAAGCAAATCTGCAAATAAAAAACTGCTATTTCATCATGAATGTTTTGTTCGTGTGATGTCATGCAAACACCGTCCAATCAATCGGATTAGTTTAGAATGCTTAAATACTTAAATCCTATAATCTTAAATAGATTATAGTTTTATTATTTTAATCCTTTCAGTGAAGGATTATTTCACTACCGCATTGATCTGGTAACATGCATCGCTGCGTGGCGGGGGAGTGGCTGTTTGATTTCCATATAGGATAGCGAAATGATTTTCTTAAGCTAATATGTTAGTGTGATTCATTGCGTTGTTGTATATTTTACTGGATTTATTATGCATCTAGATCAATCCAGTATACATTATGTATTTAGACTTCAATATGAACTAAAAATTACCGATATTTATAATCAATCTAACAATCAAAATTTAGTCTAGGTTTTTTCATAAGAAACTCAACAGATGTGGGTACTTGCCAACTAGTCAAATTAAATACTTTTTTCGAACTGTCAAAAACTACAGTTTTCTATGAATTTTGTGACGTCACGTTGTTTTAGTATCAAACAGAATATTTCTTAAAAAATTGCTTAAAAAATATTAAAATTAAGTTGGTCATAAAATCAATTAATGAAAGTGTGATTATTTTTTTTTATATTTTGTTGTATTAAACAGTCGAAATAATTAATTTTGATCAAGAAAAGTACCCAATTCATGCCGATCTACCTACATCAATCCAATATGACTCCAGACTCGTATTTCTCGTCGATCTTATTTGGTTCATGATAATAAAATACTTTATTTTCTTTTCACAGGTGGTGGCAGGGAACACCATTCCGAACACGAGGAGGAACATAGCGAGGAGGGCAAGAAAGCCTATGAGGTAAGCACATCTTTTCAAAAAGTATTTACTAAAGATATTAAAAATTTCCATATGATTGATAACTCCACTACTGTTGTGGGTGTCCATTGGTGGCATCAGGTGACCCCTGTGCTCGTTCCCGCTCTATGACATAAAAAAATATACTTTAGTACCTAGCAATAGTTAACAAGACTGGTGAACTGCCTGCATCCTGGCCCCTATCTCACAAAGAAGTAAAATTTTTCGTCAAAGGCCTCACTGAAAACCAAAAACAAGTAATAGGATTTTCAAATATTTTTGAATTCGTAAAAGGTGAAGACTTGGGCTGAAAGGAAAAAGTCATTGAATGCTAATTGGATAGCGCAGAAGCCAAAGCCCTGGTACTATCTTTATATGGACGTAAGTCATGTGTTTGTTGTACCGTTCTAACTACTGCAAACAAGTGTTATATTGTTAACATGTATATTATGCTGGTGCCAGACAAGTGCACACTTGTTTGTTCGTATTAAGAGACACGAACATTTGATGCTAATTTGTCCGTACTACACAATGTGAACAAATAGACATGCACAAGTCTGGCGCTGGTACTAAGAGTAATTTGTGTCGTACTTAGATATTTATGTTTAGCTAGAATTGCCCTTTTTTCTCAAAGTCTCGTAGTTTTTACAATTTCTATTATTACTTCTAGCCTTTTCCTATATCACTGACTTTCGACGAGCTTGGATTGATTGTTAGTATTTTACTTGGACCCAAAACGTCACTCTATGCTAAGATTTTCTCCTGCGTCGTGTTTACAAACTTATAGTTCCATATGCATAACAATTTGTGGATCATCAATTGTCATCATCTCATCATACAAAAAATTATTTTGTGTGACAATCGAGTCACGCTCTTTATGTATACCTACACTTAGTTCATTGATATGACTTTCACCCTTTATACAAACATAGATAATCAACTAGAATATTGTATTTAGATTACGAAACGCTATGACACACCCATTCGTATGCATTCAGAGGTATTGTTATCAAACAAGACCTTAATTTGTTATGAGTAGAGTCTATTGTCAATTCATGTTTTGATTTAGTTCTAAAAATATGTTTTGAAAACACAGTTGGCACTATAGGTATAATGATCTATACTAATTGTGTTTTTGGTTAATTGTTTCAAGCCCTATGGACGATCCAACCTTTAGCATTTGTATACATTTGTCTTTTGGGCTATCTAAACTATTGTCTAGTTGTTTAAACTATGACTAATAGTCAAACTGTAGCACAACATGTTGTATTGTATTATCAGTTCTTTTGATGACGCTGCCAATATTAGGGAAGATTCTAGAATAGTGTTCATTATGTTTGTTTTCAATTCCAAAAATAAGTATAAGATTTAAATGACATTACTAAATGACATATCATTTACATTTTTTTTTTATTTTTGGAATACATATTTACTAGGTCTTTTGAAGCCAAGTCTATTTTAGGTAGGTTCAACGATTATGACAAGAAATATATATAAATTTTAGTAGTATATAATCTATATAATAGTATGAAAACAGGAACTATATCTATTAACAATTTCAGTAGAATTTAATGAACCATTTTTTTACAAGTACAGTTCAATCAACGCTGTATAGTTATACAAATTGGTCTCAAAACATAATTGCAACCAAAGTCTGCTCCCACGAAATACAATGTATGGGCCATTTTACAAAACAATTGTATTGATAAATCAAGTCTCCCGGTCTGATTTCGATCATGGTGGCCCTGTAGTTTAGTCTAACTAGATTAGCCCAATATGTAGGAGATATTATAGTGAACACGTGCACAAACACAGATGCAGTCTCCAAATCCAATACGAGCAGACAAAGGTCGGGCGCAGGATCGAAGACTTAACGTATCCTCAGAGACATGGGAGTAGAACCCTCTCAAATTTCCTAACTCCAGGCTAACAATGGTACTTTAAACTAAAAATATTCATAAGCAATACAAAAATCGAAACCGCGATATGTTATATAGTAGCTGGTCACCCAGCTACTGCGCTCATTTCGTAATCATTATTTCAATCTTTTCGAAAGCTTTGGCTTAAATGAACTTGATCTATTTGATCAAGAAAATCAGAGAGAATCGACGTGAAACAAAGCTTGTGTTGTTGTGAGTCACCGTGTGAATAAGGTTAGGGGAGACTCAATACTATCTTAATGACTTTGAGGTTGGCTGCCTAAAAGTGACCTGCATACAACCCTCGCTGCAATCTTTACCTTTTTTTATAATTAATTGACTATTTACAATTGAAATGGACTATTGACTATGTATGTTCTTTGTGTGTTTGTGTAATTTATTATTTTGATTATTTGATGAATGAACGAATTAATTATTATTTTTATTATTTTAAATTTATGATACTTGCTATAGAGTCAATTTGTTAATTTATTTATAAAATTTTGAACCTGAATTCGTTTTTAATGTAATTTTATGGATTTTATTATCTGAAATAAATTGGTATTATTATTATTATTTACTAGAATTTAGGCACTTTATCATGCTTTAATTCACATGAAATCATGCGAAGGTCAATAAAGACGTTTGTTAATAAAATTATCATTTCAGCCAAAATAATAATAACCTTTAAAATTTTCTGTTGTCAGTCAAAAACAAAATGAATGAGTAATTCTGAAAAGAAACGCTAACGGTGTCCGATTTTAGCTGTCAATTAAAATATTGTTAAGAAGAGAAAACTCAATTGATTAGAGACCATTCAACAATAGGTTTTTTTTAAAATTTCATAATAAGTAGATAGAATATTTGTCTGAAACTCTCTATTTTAACAATAAATATCTTTCATCTTTTTGGATAGACTGAAGTACACAAATTAGATGTAACAATATCATTTTATCAGTAATGTTACGAGGCATGATTAATAAGTAATAAGCTATTTTGTCTATTGGAGTGTCTTGGTGGCACGGAGGTTTAAGGCGCCTGCTTGTAACTTACTGAAATGTGATTTTTTCCGAGTTATATGTACTTTCTAAGATTATTTTAAACACCACTGACAAACGGTGAAGGAAAACAGGAAACCTGGTCTTATAATTTTTAATTATAAGTTTGAAATCGCCAACCCGCATTGAGCAAGCGTGCTGATTAATGCTCTAAACTTCTCCGTGGGAGAAGAGGCTTTGCTCAGCAATGGGCATTTATAGCATTTATAGTGGCTGTTAATGATGATAATGAAGCTATTTTAAAAATTAAATCTAATAGAATTTACAATATTTGTAACATTTTTAAAACTATATTACTATCATTTGCTATAAATATTATGATCAGTCCAACCAGATTATTTCTCGGAAGAAACAATGTTTCTGAGACTTCAATAATTTTTTAAGATCACGTTATGCAAGATTCAAATTGATACTTGGATAGACTTTTTAATGAAATTTTAAATTTATTTGAATTTTACAAATTACAAATTGATACTTGGATAGACTTTTTAATGAAAATCTCATTCGACTTCGAGAGTATCTGTTTATTCCATTCAATTCATCGTTTTAAAATACTTTCGTTTATAAATGACCGTACCAAGAACTGAATCGTTTATCGACTGTAGTTGTATGAGTATGTGCAAAGGATGTCGGATCCCATTCCTATAGTAAACAAGACAGTAATTTTACGTCTAACTTAAACTTCAATATTTTTCTAGGTATTTTTCACATGTATTTAATGTTTGTTAATTACACACAAGTAGAACTATTGTCCTAAAAACGTGTTGCAATATGTATATTAATATGAAATTGTCTAACTTCTGTCTCTGCAAAAATCTAGTTTCTTCACAATTATTTACTGTGTAATTAATTAATGATGTTTTAATTTTCACGTTCAGTTTTATATTGATTGAAAATACTATTATTGGTTAATATTTACAGTTCCTTTGGCTCCAATGGCTACATAAGATATTGTCTTGTGGGTTAAATTCCAGGGTCGACAGAAGTATTTAAAAATATTTTTTTTTTAATTTCTGACGTATATCAAAGTCAAAATCATTTATTTCAATTAGACCAGAAACACACTTTTGAACGCCAACAAAAAGTAAAAAAAGACAATCTATTTGCTCATTCCAAAGTGTAGATTCCTATGGAGAAGAACGAACAAGAAACTTAATAGGTTACTCTTTTCCAATCAGGTTCACAATACAATTCTTTAGTTACATAGTTCATAATCGTCGAATCTATGTAATTTATTCTCAGTGCATTACTCAGAACTACATTTACTTCTTAACATAACTAGCAAGATATATGAATCTAATTGAATACGATAGAACAATAATATCCGGCATCAAATAAAAATCACATCAAATGTGACCAAATCTACTTATAAAACTAAAATCTTTCAAAATACTAATGCACCTTCATAATTGCAGGGTCTACATAAAGAAACCAAGTCATCGAAAGGATATCATGATAGAGAAAACCATTTGGGAAAATATGACGACCACGGAGGAGTCGACAAACATCATGAGGAGGAATCAGGACACTACGGAGACCATCATCATGAGGAACATGGAAAAAAGCACGCGAAGGTCGGTATTTAGGAAGTGGTATAGTACACACGTGATTTTAAGCGTAGGGACGTCATGTTTCGACACGAATGGGCCGGCTCGACCGCGGTAATACCACGGTCTTACAGGGAACCTGGCGGTGAAGCAACCAGTATTGTGTTCCGCCGTCTAAGGGCCAATTTTTCCAATGCCACATAAATTTGAACTGAGATTTAACTTTCAATATTTGACAATTCTTCCATACTGTATTTTTATTTAAAGTTAAAATTAATTGATGATTGAAAAATAGGCCCTAAGTGAAGTTTTAGACCCATTTCTTCCCCCCTTAAAACCTCAAACCCCTAAACCCCATAAGGCGGCCAACGCCCTTGTATTTGTAACTAATCTGGTGTAGGAGGTCATATAAAAATCTGAAATCGTTTATTTTTTGAAATCCTATTTGTTTTTAAGCCTGTAACCTGTAGAGTAAAGGTATGCGTATCTCTAATCTAATCTTAATAATCTAATAATCAATGTTTCTAGAAAAAAGTTTATCATAAAATAGTTTTCAATCTGGACAAAGATTCTAAGTTTGAATTGATAAAAAATGTCTAAAACCTTCACAAATATTATTTTCGTTGTGAACATCATCTAAATATTAAACGGTACAAGACGAGTTTTTTTGCTGGTGAGAATAAGTTCAAGTACCTACTTAGGTAAATGTTGAGTACTAAAAGGACGTCACTGCTATTCAGATACAGACTTACTATAGAGGTGACAAGGTCCTATTTTGCTTCTATTTTTATTTGTAAAATATTTTCTACCTGCAACCAAGTTTTAAGTAGATGTTTGAAAAACTTGAGCAATATGTTAAGAAAGAGTGAAATGTTATTTTTATGATTCTGTAGTTACAATAAATACGTAATCATCGGCCAATCAAATAAACACTTAAAAAAAGGAGACATTGAATTGACATCTGTCAATTCGAATGACATTGAAATAGATTAAAAATATGTCCAGACTTCAAGCTACCTAAGAACCTAGTCAGTATAATTTAATCCATTATCAAACTTTACTACTAAATGATAAGGTTCAAAGTTTATTTTTTACTCGTAATTCTGATGTATTTTTTTTACTACGTGTGTGAACTTATGGTTTTTGAGTCTTATCAAAGTCAAAGTAACTAACAAGCATTTATTTATCTTTATTTTACTTAAATTCTACTTTAGTACGAGGAATCAGGGAAACATTCGAAAGGGCATAGCACCAAAGGGAGCCACGACATCCACAAGAAGGAAGAATACGAGAAAAAGGTGGAATTTTTCGAGGAAGAAGGCGACTCCGCCGAGGAGGAGAAACATGGCGGCTTCAACGAAGAGCACGGTCACTCAAAAGTAAGTTCTTTTACTATAATTGCAAAAGTAAATTTCGCATGTCACCCTTAGGCATTTAAATTACGAAACATTCTTCGATGACCATTGATTACTTTGGTTTAGTAGATACATGATAAATTGAGGTGCTTTGATAATCAGGAATTTGAATACCGTACGAGAAGACTCAGGTTCGATTACCAAACCTCAACTTTTGTGTACTAATATTGAGACTTCGAATGCTAAACTGTTAAATATTAAAGTAACTAAAATCTTAAAAAAAGCCCAAATATCGTGCCGTCTCTGTCATTTTACAAACAATTTGTAGAGACAGAACTATACTTAAGCACGACTTAAAATTCAGTTGCGTTTGTAGTATTTAGATATTAAGTATGTTAAAATTACAATTGGGATGATGACTGGGTATGGAAATTAAAAATCTAATTAGTCCGTACGTTAGGTAATGAAAAAATATTAGACACGTATTTTTATATTTTGTCGTATAATAAAGCAATACTTAAAACGAATCAAAGTTTAGGAGTGGGGGCTAAAACGTCATTTCTATGTATAAAATGTTATAGAAGTGACGTCACGCGACATTTCAAACCAATATATCGTCGAAAGTATTCGTTTCTGTAAGAAAATAAAAAATAACTACGTGTCTAATGATTTAAAATAATCTACCAGACGGGCATTAAAATAAAAATTTGGCATCTACCCTATTCAATTGTTGACTATTTTAATCTCTTACATAACAATAGGTTATTAAATTCATTAATATTTAGATCTCACGTGGTATTACAGTATGTTTACGATTAAACAGCTCATAAGTACAATCGACAAATGTAGCGAGTGTCCCAAAAGTAAATAATTCGTTGCCGTTTTCCTTGGAATGTTGTCTTGATTATTTTGATTCGTCGCATATCTGAAGAAGACACAATATATTCTTTATTGTGTTAGTGTATGTAATTTATAAAGTTAACGTGACCTCTAAAATGTGTTTTATAAGGACAGTAAGTATACTATCTCATTCTCAAATTGCTTGGGTTCACGAATATACTATTATTAGAATTTCAATAACTTAATTTTAAATTCTCTTTCCACTTTATTGAGGGGATTAAATCATCCAATGCCTGCTCACGCCTTGAGTAAGGTAGAGGAAGTGTCAGACTCTTATTGACTAAAAATCACCCCGTTCCTACTTCTGCTCTTACGAGCCGGAGTCCCGGCAACCCGTTAGGCCCTCCGCGGCTCCGTATCGATCGGCATCAGCCCTACTGGGCCCCATCTGTGATAGTCTAACGGCTTACGTTCGGGTCGGGTTCTGATCGGCCGGCGAGTTACCCGTAAATGCTCAAATTCTCTTTTCACTAAAGTCTAAAATTATGTAAAAACAATCTTACAATATTTAATCCAAATATGAACCTGAACAGGTCGTACACCAAGACACTTGGCCGATAGTACTTACATATTACTAACGCAAGCGAAATATTAATTTTAAGCTTTAATTAACAGATTATTAAGTGTATAATTACTTAAGTAGGTTTCCTTGTTAACTTTAAATTAGGGTGTGCTAATAGTTTTGGGATTACAAGGTTTCTTTTTGAAAGTGCACGACGCAAGTTTGTACTATGATTGACAAATTAATTTGATATTGATTACAAGTTAATTTGAACGTTAACGACCGAACTTAACAACCAATTTGTATTCAAAATGTTTGGGTTCAGCTTTTCTTAGGTTTTGTTTAGTTATATTGAATTTCTATGAAAAACCTACATTGATATGGAATGAGATTAGTTTTAAGTACTTTAGTTAATATGCGAAAGGATTGGTTTTGCTAAGTAATAATTTGTTTTCAAGATTTTGAATTTGAAGATTGATATAGATACTTAAGTTTCTTTGTCGAATCAGGTAAGGAATAGGACTTTTTATATATAACACGATACGTAGAAATAGGCGTGGTGTATGTCAAAACCAGTAATATTATTAAGAACTAGAGGATCAAGTGTCCTTGTGTGAACGGCTGAGGAATGTAATTTCTTGCCAGAATCTGTGTTTTCCAACGACTGCAACTTGGGCGACTACAAGTCCCGAGTGAACAGTTGTTACTCATAAGTAGGCGTGCTCCATCGTCAGCCACATTGTAGCTTTCCACCAGGCGAGATGGTGGCCAAACGTCAGCCTATCAAGTATATAGAATAAACATAGGCAGAGGTGCACACAGAAGTAACATCCACTTTTCACTATTTATTTTATGAGTCCCATGTAATAGGGGGTACCCAGTAATACTTTGCTCGACCCGGGAACCGAATCCGAAACTACAAAAGTCGAAAGTCGCACTTGCGACCACTCGGCCAACGAGGCAGTCTTATAAAAAATACTTCTAACATAACCGGTGAAAAGTCGTAAGTTATATGTTACACGATAGGCATATTATATGTTATGTATGTCAGAATATAGGAACTGTTACACATGCTCATTATAAGCACGAAAGCATGCTTCAACTGAGCACTTGTCACTTAGTAGCATGTGTGTCGGAATGTTGCTCATTTCAAGCATGTTTGCGAATCGGCAGGCGTTCGATTTTTAAACATTTTTGAGCATGCTCAATAGAACACTATTTAACATGTTATTTTAGACCATGTGTATTATTATACCTTTGTCTAGTATATACGCGAGCTTACACTGTCTAGAGAAAAGTCTGATTTGATTCTTCGGTCGTGCAAAGCAATATTCAGATTATTGATATCCAATTTCATTACCCTTTCCCCCAACCCTCTGAAATATGATAAGGATTGTACCCTGTACCCTATTACAGGGAGCCCTTAGACCGGCGTAGGATTGTGTGTCAATAATTTAGAACTGATTAACAACCGGTCTCAGAGTCAGTTGATGGCTACTCAACTCAGTTCTTAGCATTTAGAAGTTCGTCGTTTTTTTAGTCAAAAATAAGTAATTTCGACTTTTCAATCCGTATTTAAACTGTCAAACACCAAGCGGTCACCGGTGACCGCAACCTATTGTTCTATAATTGTGTCTATAATGCCGGTACTCGACGAGTTAAATAACCGTGCTTCTACGTGCGTACGAATTAATTTTTGATTTTTTCTAGCAAATTTTACGAATGATTGTCGAAATACTCAAACGTTACCAAGTAGTAAGTCCTTAAACTGTCAAACACCAAGCGGTCACCGGTGACCGCAATCTATTGTTCTATAATTGTGTCTTTATTGACGCGATAGTTCTGTCACTACAAATTCTCTGGATAATAACACGATAGTTAAGTACAATTTAAATTTGTTTAGCTTTTCGGTATTCGGGTATAAGCATTCTATTTCACGTAAACATTTATTTTTGATGGCTTGACGTGATCATGTTGCGAATTTGCGACATCCATACAAAAATCATAGAAAAGTTTTTGACATTTCAATAAAATTGTTGATTTTGACTAGTTGGCATTGGCAACTACCGTATTGATTGTTTTTGGAACAAAATCATTGTTAAAGAATGAAGAAGAAAAAAGAAATGGGGTACGTGCCAGCCAACTGGTCAAATTCAATACTTTTTTCGAACTGTTAAAAAATGAAAATTATCTATGAATTTTGTACGTAATTGTGTTTTGTGACGTCATATTTTTAAAGCATCAAACTGCATACTTATTTCTTAAAAAATATTTTTTAATATTTTATTGTATTGACTGTTCAAGTCGAAATAATTTATTTTTGATTATGGAATATACCCAATTAGGGATAGTTAATAGTTGTTAAAGTAATAATTATACGACCGTTCAATTATTCAGTTATACCTAATTTTTGCGTAGTTTTATCACTTTTGTTACCAATCATATTATGATTTCAGCAATAAATAAACGTTACTATATTCTTTGCATAGTGAGTGGGTTTACAAAGGGTCATCGCAAATACTCGTATACGGAAAAGGTATCAGCAGATTCCAAGAGATACCTACGCAATTCAAATATTAGATTAAATAAATAAGATCGTGCATAGATCAAATTCTGGGAAAATATTATGGGTAAATAAATAAAAAAATGCCTTGTTGGTTGAGTGGTTGCAGCTTTCAATACTGAGGTTCAATTTTTTGGTTGGACAATGTTATTATGTGCATTTCTGTCTTCAGGGGGTCCTCACTTTAGGGGTTAACACCTTGAACGCCATGGGGGACAAGGTATGGGCCACGATAGCGGAGGATTTACCCTCAACAGTTTTCTGTCGGCAGTCAAAGGGTTAAGAAAGCGTGACGTTATGGATGATTAATAATACTTGATTCTTCGTAATTTTTTATGAATTTTGTAATTTATTGTTTTTCCTGATTTTGAAATTAATTCTAAAAAATCTTATGTTCAGTCAGGCTTGAAAAAAGTGGTTTAATTTCATTATATTATTTGCAAACATCCTTTTTGAAATCAATGTGTCATCATTTTCAACTAAAACGGTCAGAATTTCAGTAAAATCAGTGGCCTGTAACTGAAATCATGTATTGACTAAATGGACTAGACGAATCGTGCTTGGATTGCAAAAAATCTACATTTCAAAATTCAGTCTAGACTTGTTAAAATTTACTGGAAAAATACTTAAATTAACATAATCAAGTACACAGACGAAATAATTTATTTTTGATTAGGAAAAGTTAAAATTTGTCAAAGAAAAGTAATAAATTAATTAAATTAATCAGTTATAATTTTTGCGTAGTTTTTAAACACTTTTGTTACTATTTCAGTCTAGACTTGAGTCATTTCGATCTAGAATCAGGAACTTTTGAATTTAACTTTTTTATAAAAGTTCGTCGTGACATTTCAAGGCCGCGTATTAGGTTTAAGTGACCTGAATGTCCAAGGTTCGATGTTCCGGTTGATGAAAGTGAGAGCATAGAATTATGATAATTTATTCATCGGCTTTTTGTCACCTGATTGATGCAATGTTTGACCTTTTACAAATAATTTGCATCAATCGTGAATAATTACTAGTCACGTTTCATTTATTGATTATTTTTGTTATTGACTGCCTCATTGACCGAGTAGTCGCAAGTACGACTGCCGGGCAAGAGGTCTCGGGGTCGATTCCCACACATATCTCCAACGGCAAAGTCATACAGCATTAACTATGATAATAAAGAAATTGCAATAAGGAACCTTAGACTTGGCACGACTTTGTTATCTTTCATTACTTTTTAGAGATAACCTAGCAGCTCCATCCGGCTAGTTTTTTACAGAATGTTTTTGATTGGATTATATTATAAAATAATACATATTATATTTTTTTTATAAGTTAATGTATTTGGAATTGTGCTAATTAAAACCAAATGCGTTTTAAGTTATTAATATCACTGAAATGTAGCTATACTATGCGTAAACTGCAACTTACCCCGACTCAACTCAACTAAGAATTAACAGAAATGAGTTTTAGATATGTTTTAAATGGACTAATTTCTTTTCATAATTACTTTTTAATAAACTTCTCTCATTAAAACCATTTAGCTACATATAACTTAATACTGAAACCATTAACGAGTAAGACAATGTTAACTTAAAGCTAACTTAATTAACTTAAAACATAAACTGTAATTAGTTATATGAACAAAACATGGTTTAATTACAAAGTCGTAATTTTAACTGCATGTTGCAAGCTTAGGTTAAGCAAGGGAAGTTACTTACTTAAAGTAATCCAACTTAACTGTAACTTACATTTCCTGTCTAGTTATTATGTTGGGAATTATTAAGTGTAGTTTACGAGCTGTGTGGGTAGACTAGGCAGCCATTTTGAAAACTGTTAATTGCGTGTCAATGTGAAAATTTTTGCTCAGTTCTGGGGTGTTTTGACTTATTATTATTGCTGTTTAATGATTTCCGACTGCCTCGTTGGCCGAGTGGTCGTAAGTGCGACTGTAGGGCACGGGATCTTGGGTTCGATTTCCGGTTCGAACAAAGTAGGTATTAATAGGTTTTAAAAACAATTCTCAGTAGTAGCACAGAGTCTGGAATTGTGTTCAGAATATGGCAATAGCGGTTGACCCCTATGACATAAATAACGAAAAGTGGGTATTACATTGTACAGTAGGATTAAGTGCCGGAATGTGCACCTCTTTCAGGGATGAAAGGCGAGATGATGAGTATGATCAGTATAGATTTCTGAAAATGTTAAATCGATTAAAGCAACGCTACATGAGAAAAGCTTTGTAGTTTTTAGGATATTCAAGACAATATAATGTAATATATAGCTTGGACGCATACATAATGAGATTGATGACTGTAGACGAAGCGGTATAGGTATGTCAGAATCACGTCATTTCGCTTCCATTGTCTCTGCCTGCCCCAGTAGGAGACAAACATGACGATATATATTTATGTATATATGTATTACAATTCTAAACTCTATCAAAATGCCTATGATTGGAAAATAAAACAATTCATTTCAACAATTAAATAGTTATCTATATTATGGCAATAGGTTCACTCCATATTACACGGGACTCATAATATAAATACAGGGTTTGTGTTTCTCTTTATCTCTATAATAGTTTGAATTACTTTATTAGTTAGTAAAGTCTAATATGGTGTAAGGTGTCGCTAGATTTTATAATACCTTGTTATCGCATTGGGTCCTAAACCTGTAATGTTAACAAGTGTGTGTAATAAATAAATAAATAAATAAAATAGTGGAAAGTGGGTGTTACATTTTACAGTGGCATTAAGTGCCGTTATTTGCATACCCCTTCGAGGATAAAAGGCGTGAAGTTATGAAGAATTCATTTTCCGAACTTAAAACTTACATACGATAAGACGAATCTGTGTTTAAATTAAATACACAATTTTATTCTGCATGTTTTAACAAAGAAATTCAATTAAAGTAGATAAAGATATACCTATCGTAAGTTACAAAAATATGAGAACTGTTGTGACATTCCTATTAAGAAGGAAACAAGTTATGAAGCTTGTTTTAACTTGTCTTATCACAGTACTCATGTGGTTTGTTAAACATTTCTGAAACATGTTTTTTATGTAAAAAAGTGTAACTGATATATTATTTCAAATTATTACACAAGTAATTATAATATTTATATTAAAATTATAATATTTTAAGTGTGGGAGAGCCATGCTTCGGCACGAATGGGCCGGCTCGACCGGAGTGATACCACGGCCTCACAGAAAACCGACGTGAAGCAACGCTAGCGTTGTGTTTCGTCGTGTGAGTGAGGTTACCGGAGGCCCAATTATTCCCCTTCCCTAATCTCCCCAATCCCTGAATCCTCAACGATCCTAAAACTCCTAATCCCCAAAAAGGTCGGTGACGCCCTTGTAACGCCTCTGGTGTTCCAGGTGTCCATGGGCGACGCCGATTGCTTACCATCAGGTGATCCGTCTGCTCGTTTACCGGCTGATGCCATAAAAAAAACACGTATTTTTTATTTTCTTACAGAATCGAATACTTTCGACGATATATTGATTTGAAATGTCGCGTGACGTCACTTATATGTACATTTTATAAGTACGTAGAAATGACGTTTTAGCCCCCACTCCTAAACTTTGATTCGTTATCATAATCATAATCATATTCATTTATTTATTTATATTATAATAATTTAGTTATATCTCAAGTATTGTTTTATTATACCTACGAGAAATTAAAAAAATACGTGTCTAATATTTTTTCATTACCTAGCGTACGGACTAATTAGATTTTTAATTTCCATACCCTGTCATCATCCCAATTCACAAAATATGGCAAGTAGGTTGATTGTATGGCAAGCAGAAGAATTTAAATTGAAGGTTGTCACTGACCATTATGTTACTTTAAATTTTGGTCATACTTTCAGGACATATTTTGATACTGTTATGGGTCATTTTTAGATCAGTTTATTATCCTATATTAAATGTTTTTATTTTAATTTCTCAGGGCGGGCATTTCAAGAACGGCAACTACAAGGCGGGCCACGAGGAGCACAAGAAGGGGGATTCCGGTCACTTCGCAAAAGGAGGTCATTTGCACGTGTCTAAGGTAATATAATAATTATAATATCTAAACTAATCCTTAGAACCTGCTTTACCGTAGCCCAGCTGTTTTTACAGACAGCTGATTACAATAAAATTGACTGCAATAATCAATACATTATTTTATTGAACACGTTTTCAAAGCAAATACGGCTTTGAAATGATAAATGAGCTTGGTATTTTTTGGCGTATGGTATATTATTTTCAATGGTCAATTGAAGCCTAACCTCAGGTTTGGGGGGTCACCAACCTTGTGAAATTGAGTCCTCTCAAAACGCAATACTCTGTTCTTAAATTCTAATATTTCAATGGATTAGTCCATTCAACTGTTTTAATTTCATTTCTAGAATATCAGTGTCAATACTGATTTTTGAAATTAATTCGGAAGAATAAGTTAAATCATCATTTGTCTATTTTAGGCCTGGTTATTGTACTAGTGTTCTACCAGACTATTAAATGAGTCAAGATAAACAACTCCCTACTTATAGATCTTATGGAATACATACATACATACATAACTTCACGCCTGTCTCCCATGGGGGGAGGCAGAGACTAAGGAACGCCCATTACTACGATTCTTACATACCTCTTTCGCTCCATCAACAGTCATCAATCTTTTAATGCATGCTCATCGGTTAAGGGTACTTTTAATTTGGCGCTTCTTATGGAAATACAAGTCATATTGCATTACGACATAATAATCTTTCTGTTCCAGGGACACAAGTCAGCAGCCGGTCACGACGCCCATTCGAAAAAAAACAGTGCCCATTTTGCCAAAGAGGGTAAAGATGCGGGCAAGAAATGGATCTATCATCACGGTTATCCGCCCAAAACCGCGAACCTGGTCCTAATTGATAGGAGAGCGGACCAAATGTACCATGGACCTCAGTATTACGGATAGACTGATCTTTAAGAAGGCTATCGCCAGAAATTGATACCTGATATTAATTTAAAACTATCGATCTATGTTTTTTGAAAGAATTTCATAAATACAGTCAGAATTCACTGAATTAATCTATGTTTTTTAGAGAAATTCAGTACAATTCATATATAAAAATCATACCAATTATATCAGTTATCAATTTCAGCCATAAGTGGTCTTATTAGTACTGTCAATTTCTGCCAAATACCACCTGCACAATGTAGCGTGTACACAATAGTGTTATTTTATAAATATATCATCTCCCTTCTAAATATTTTGTTCCATTGATCGCCAATTATGATACTATAATGACAAAATGATTCAATGACATTTTTCTTTTTTAGTTTCTAGTATCTGTTTTTAGTGTTCCTATATTGGCTGACAAGGTATTTGTAACTCCTCTTGTGTTGTGGGTGTCTTTAAGTGGCGATGATTGTTTAATTACCATCATTGTTTGTTTATTTCCTATCTACTATATAAAAATAATCAAAGACAATGGTTTATATATTTCTATTTGTTTCTCCTAGCTATTGTTTTAATTGATTCTGAGGTCAGCACCAATCGAGTTCTAATCCGTTTTGCCTGAATGGCATCTTAAGTGGAATAATGGCCACATATACATTTGTTATGTAGTATTAATAAAACTGATGGCAGTGTTTTCCTTATGGTCTCTAACAAATAGGCCTATTATTTTTGTTTATATAGCACTACTGATTGGTTATTAGTATTAAAATTTATGATTTGCTAACAATAAACATTTAAGAATTTTTGAAACATAAAATTCGAACATAATGGATTCATCTGATTAGTTTACATGAGGGCAATTTTATGAATATTTTCGTAATTTTGTCTCTTGGAGTATTTTAATCGATTTTAACCACTGATTTTAACCTTGGAATTTGTTTTTTAACCATTGTCACAAGGAGGTTTCCTCTTTGTAACAAACAGATTGTATGCTTATTCTTTTTTGTTGTACATTATTTGAAGTCTGTTTGGATTAGTTATAACACTATACAAAGATAAATTATTATCGTCTATGGGTATTATATTGACCCTATTAATAAATACCTAAGCGATAATAAGTTTCTAATATTTGTTTGTTAAAATATTAGCTAAAATAGGATTCCTATTTTCAATATTCGTTTGCTTGTGTCCAAGTTAAATTGCTGAAGTTTGATAGAATCGTTTAGTTTCTCTGCTCAACTAATATGGCTCGATAAGTTTTTTTTTTAAATGTCACCGCGTTTATAATATTTTGCTTTTAAAATTGAAATATGTTTGAAGCACTTGTCCTTTGGCTTTTCTATTTATGCTATATAATCATTATATGTTTATAAAGATCCAGGGCCGGATAGGTACCTCTTCAATGGCGCTATATGTATGACAAAAATCATATAAATTTTGGTATTGTGTGAAAATTTATATATAAGTTCATTCCCAATACAAAAACATTGGTTCATGATCTTCCTTGGATTCAATTAGACCTGATTTATAAGCGCCAACCTAAGGATTTTGCAAGATTGAATATTATGCTTTATTACTAGTATCCTAAAGTGCAAATTGAGTGCATTCAGTTAGATCTAATTAATAACCCTATTTTATACAATTTCTTACTGTATTCTGTTGCTTGTAAAGTTGATTTTTATATGTCAGCGTTGTACCTAATGTTTTGTCCAAAATATAATGGTGACAAACGGTGACAAGTAAAATATAACAGGAATTTATTTAACGTTTATAACATAGTAAAATATATTTCTTTTTTTAGTCTGATCTAAAACTAAAATTTTGTCTTTTTGACATATTTGATATGGAGTTTATAGTAAAAATGTATCTTTTGTTACCAATATTTTTATACGTCAATTGAATGAACGCGACGCTAGCGCCCCTGGTGGCAAAAGGTCTTGCTTTTTGACGAATTTAAATTCATGATCGTTCTTTATTTTAATTTTAGTCATAGATACTTTTTTATGTTTTTTTAATATAAGATTTTTTTTTAATAAATTATAACTGAATAGGTTAACGTGCCTATGTGTTAAAATAGCCTTTATAATAATGAGTTTTGTTATTTTTGTTTTTATCGTCTTCTTATTTATCCGAACTATGCATTATTTTTGCTTTTTTACGTTTTTTTTTAAATTTTAATATGTCGATTTACGATTTTTGTGAAATCATAGGTACCTAATTTTTGTACTTTTTACTTTATAAGTTATAATTAATTATATTTACACTTAATATAAGTTAGTATAATTATTTCATAATTAATAATACTTTATTGTAAATACTCTTACTGTGATTATTTTTATCGTAATTTTTGTAAATATTTTTTTTTTCTAAATACAAGTGTATTTTTTCAAATTTGTTCTTTTTTTCCCTTTTTTTTTAATCCATAGTATCGTTCAAGGGTTTTCAATTCTAATTTAAATACATTTCCGAAAGACGTAACAAATAACAAACATCGATTGAATATTTTTCTGTCGCTAAAAAGGACTTAACGAAGAATTTCATATAGTTTCACATTATCTACTATTGAGGTGCCTTTAAATTTCATATAATCCCGTATAGTTTCACATTACTATTGAGGTGCCTCAAAGAATTTCATATAGTTTCACATTCCTATTGAGGAGCCTCAAAGAATTTCATATACATAATTTCGTAGTTTTATATAACTATTGAGGTGCCTTGTAAACTCAGACAAAACCTCATACGTAAGGTTAGACTCAGACAAATATAAAACAGAAAATCACGAAAATTAAAACAAGATCATAATCAAAATAAAATTTAAAGATAAATAAGAGTGATGAATTGTAAAGGAATACGTATTGTTATAAAGTTTTTCTGCCACCTGATAGTAGACAGTGACAGATCGCCATTTTATTTATTTTCCTTTTAACAAAAGATTACGAAAGATGCGTTAAATATTTCGTTTTTTTGAGGAAACAACAATTAAAGTCGCTCTCAAAATTGTTTAACACTCTTTTCCTTGTTGAAGGGCAACAAGTTTAGATATCGTAAACATTTTATTTTTGTCTTTTTTAATGGAATAGGAGGCAAACGAGCAGACGGATCGCCTGATGGTAAGCGATCAGCGCCGCCCATGGACACCAAGGGAGTCACAAGTGCGTTGCCAGCCTTTTAAAAAGGAATACGCTCTTGTGACAGCTGAATTAGAATACATTTGTCATCATCCTTGCTCCTGTTGTGAATGTCTTCAGAACCGATTGTCGATCTACCTATTTGACAGAGACCAACCTTTTAAACTACAACCTTCAATCCAGTTGCAAAGTTACAGCTAACTCTCTTATGTAAAGGAGGCTCAATCAGCAATGGACTGCCGCGAACTGATTGGTGTCGATTAATACGAAGACAATAGGATTTATTGAATGTTTATTTACATATTTGTTTTACACTTTTTGTACATGAAAATAAAACAACAACATAAAACTGCCTCGTTAACCAAGTGGTCGCATGTGCCACTGCTAAGCAAGGGATCTCAGGTTCAGTTCCCGTCCCAGTTTGAAGTTAACTGAGAGTGAGTGTGTGGTGGTGGCCCGGAGGTTTAAGACGCCCGCTTCTCATGAATGAGGGTGTCGGTTCGAAATCTACCAATGTAACTTTTTCCGAGTCATATATACTTTCTAAGATTATTTAGACACCACTGACAAACGGTGAAGGAAAACATCGTAAGGAAACCTGAGCTTATAATTTCTAATTATAAGTTTGAAATCGCCAACCCGCATTGAGCAAGCGTGGTGGTTAATGCTCAAACCTTTTCCGTGTGAGAAGAGGCTTTGCTCAGCAGTGGGCATTTATAGGCTGTTGATGATGAGTAGCACAGAGTTAGGAATTGTGCTCGATATGTTGCAAGTGGGTGTTACATTGTATAGTGGCATTAAGTGCCGTAATGTGCAGCTCTGCCTACCCCATCGGGAATAAAAGGCGTGATGTTAAGCACATAAAACATACAGCAGCAGAGTGGGGATGAGTCCAGAGTCACGGCGCATCGTTCAAGCAGAACCCGCCGCACACGAAACAATTACTCTACATGTTTGAACGTGTCTGAACTGCGAGCGCGCGCGCACACGACCCGGCGAGTATTTGTTTCGTACGCGGCGGATACGCCGTGACACAACAAGGTTCTTACTCTTGAAACCAATCTCAATGTCAATGCCATTTCAATCCAATAAAATCTCAATAATTATCCAATGTCAAAACTATATATAAGCCCTATCGTAGCTGTCAAATTAGCATTTAGAATACGGAATATAAAGCCAAACTCAATACCATTTAGTTTATTCAATATCCACACAATACGGATGCAATGGGCGCTAGTGTTGGAACTCAAGAGTACGAAATTTCACAATACCAATGTCGATCGATCGGAATTGGATTCAAGAGTAAGCCCCCAGAACTGAGTTTTAATGCCTTCTCTAATGCATTGTCTGAAACAGGGCTGTCCAAACAAAGGCCCGCGACTTGTTTTCATGTGACCCACGACACTCATTTTAATCTCAACATCTTCATCTTATGTACAACAACAAAAATAAAATTCAGTGTATAATTTGAATATAAGTTTTATACAATGTTAAACGTCATTATACAACTGAAAATATTTTTTCTGGACCCCCAGCTTTTGTAAGGAATTTTATTAGCCCGCGAAGGTGCATAGTTTGAACAGCCCTGCTCTGAAACATTGGGTCCAGTAAAGTTTGTAAAACGATCAGCAAAAGTGCACTCAAGTCATTTACCACTAGGTATACTAATTGCTTTATTGCTGAAATACATTATTCAGGGAAATATTCATGAAATATCAATTCGTGCTTGTAACATGAATGATTGGAACGAAGAATTTAATGAAGTCGGTATCGTGAAGAGTATAATGGAATCGATGTACCTACATGATCTTTCAGTTCTCTGTGCATTTACAAAGTGAATGTTAAATGTATTATGGTAATTATCTCTATTACATGAGACTCATAACATAAATAGTGAAAAGTGGGTGTAACTTCTGTGTGCACTTCTGTCTACCCCTTTAGGGATAAAAGGCGTGATGTTATGGTAATTGGTAACGTATATTAAAGGAACGGTTTCAGTTTTTGATACTTTTAAGACTTAAAAGGTAAAAGATTCACTCAATAGTTTCGTCCTTTAAACACATAAAATTTAATAGTTTTTCATCAGTACATATTTTTAGTTTCATGTCCATGCACGGGGCACAAAACCGCTTCTCCTTTTGTGAACTAATTAAAATATGAGGCTCTGACTTCAAAACACTCAAAGCATTTGGAAAAAATTCAATCCTATTTTTGCAACTACCCATATAATACAGTAAGAACGTCATAAGCTAAACTTTATTAACTTTCGGTTTACCAAACAAATGGCGCAGAATAAAAAAGGGCTAGAAATAGTGGGTGTATTGGAAAGAGGTATGAAATACTGGCCCACTGTGCAACACAGTGCGTAGGATTCATAATGGTGTTGGTAACAACGGCTCGCAGCGTTCGGAATGTTAATACTAACGTAGGTACAGTTAGTAAATATATTTATTACATTCTGTTTTATGAATATTTATTTGCTTTTTTATCCAGTATCCTTATAATAGGGATGATAATGGGATGTATGAGAACTGAAAATCTATTTAGCTCGTCAGTTAGGTAATGAAAAACTATTAGACACGTATTTTTTATTTTGTCGTATAAAAATACAATACTTAGATAAAACGAATCAAAGTTTAGGAGTCGATAAAAGTGACGTCACGCGATATTTTAAATATAAGTCAAAAGTATTTGTTACCATAAGAAAAAAAATAGGTGTCTAATGTTAAGTAAAAACGCGGGTTACTCACGTGAATATACTGAGA